CTATGCACAAATGCAAAAAATCGATTTTTGTAAAAATGTTGACCAGATGAAAAAGCTTTACCTCAGATGTGAGGTCAGTGCAGGCTGCGTAGAACGGCTCCAACCATCGGGGGCAACTTGGGGGTTCAGTGTCTTGCCCAAGGACTCAAATCGCCATCCCTCCGGTTGGGAGACAACTGCTCTACCCATTGAACCACAGTCGCCCCGCAGAGTATAATCACCTTTATTTGGCCAAGTATATTGACTCATTTTCACTGAGTTTATTGACTCATTATTGTGTCCATCACACTTAGTGTTGCAGCCTCTAAAGTGGGAGCTAATGTTAATAACATTATGTAGGCCACCTTATAATTTCTAGTACTTCACATGTCTGGGCAGCAGTATGTTAAGTACTTCTGTTCTGTTTCTCAGAGGACTATGGACAGGAATCAATTGTTTGACCCAGTGGAGTAAAGAGTTAGTTCCCTTTTTTAAAACTGAATCAGATAATTTTGAATGAAAAATCGATCTGAATCAAATTGTGACAGCAAGAATCAGAATTGAATCAAATCACAGGTGGTTGACAGCAGTAGTAAAGATAAGTGACGAATGAAAGGAAACCCCAACATAAAGTGTTGAAGGCACCACACGCCACCAGGGGCCACTTCAGTGCACCTTGGCATTGACTCTCCAAGTCTCTGATATTCCTTCATGTCGTGTTTTGATGATGATGGTGGAGACGCTGTCCAACGCGTCACTCCAACAGATCAGGTGTCTGAATATACTGTGTTCACATCGTATGACTCCCAGAAGGAGTACACATTTTAAATCATCATTATAGATGAAGCTCTAAGCAGTGGCCTAAAGGCTACATAGAAGAAAATCCTTGAAATAAGGTTGAGCAAGTGATGAAGAGAGATTCATAATAGTTTAGAGTTGAATGACATTCCAAAAACATTTACTTTTTGATTTCAGCTTGCTTCAGAGGCCTGGTAAGCGAGTACCAAACATTTTTCACAGTTCATACTTGCTTGAGTAAGGTGCATCCTCACTGAGCTAGTGATGCAGTTATGCATGTCGTTGTCATAACTAAAAGAATATTTAGCATACTTCAGAAGTTAATCTCAGGACTGCAGGCTTCTTTTTTAAGGAACCCTCTAAAACAATATTTATACACTGAAAAACCTAAGTATAAAAATATATAAATCTTCATTGTGTCCTGTTCGTCTGAGTTTCTGACCGTAGTTTCCCCTTCTCCAAGGTGTTTCTATAGCTCCTCTGTCCACTGTTTGTATGTCAAGTGCTTCCAACATGCAAATGAATAGGCTCCTGTCACAGACACCAACACGAGCCTCGCTCAAGGTGCACGCCAGACACTATGCAATGCACTCCCTGCACTTTTGGTTTGTGCCAAGATGTGAACTGATATCTCGAAGTGATCAGCCGGTCATTGGTCAAGGCTTCTCCGATCTCCCCCGATCGATCAGTGCATTTTTAATATGTGTTACACTGTCTTGTGCAAGAGCGGCAATACCCTAACATGAATCTGCTCTTTGTTCACTATTAGACATTTCTGTATGTAATTACTTATTTCACATGTTTATGGTATTGGTTTTCTGAGTCCTAATCCAAAAACAGCTTAGAGAGAATTAAACTCAATGGGAGCACTTCAGCTAAAATTGATAGTAAGGTCATTACATTTGTTGCTATCTATATAACAGAATTTTGTCTTGTTGGTGCTGTGTGTGTATACAAGTACAGTTGTATGTGTATGTGCTGTTATTGGTTTATTAGTATGACAGAAGCATGAGGTCCATTTGGACTCTGACAGTCTGATGCCATCTACTGTTACATCTCGATCAGTAGAGCTCTGCTGCTCAGCTTTATTTAGTTTTAGTGGGTTCAACATCAGGCAGCACAAGTATGAAGAACAAATGTGTCTATGCTGCATATTTTTTCCTTTAGTATTATTGCCAGTAAGTCATCTGAACAGACCCAAACCAAAAATGTTTCCAGCAAACATGTTTTGTCTACATACAGATCTCTTGGCTGGTTTTCTCTGTTGGACATCACTTAAATCATCTTTGGGTCTTGGACTGTTGGTCGGACAAAAACTTGTTTTTGGAGCCGACAGTTATTTTCACCATCTGTTAATCTGCCACATATTTTTCTGATGAATCATTTAATGGCACAGTATATGAAATGTCAAAAAAATAGTGAACAAAAACCCACAACTTCTAAACGTCTAAAACTCAGTTACTGTATGTTGAGTAAATAAAATTAAGGAAATTATGACGATGATAATCAGAATGGTTTAACTTTTATGCCTCAATCCACCCAAGAACATACAGTAGTGTTCTTGGGTTGGTTGTCCATCCCAATCTCATAAACGCAGTATCTCAGGAACGCCTTGTGAGGATTTTGTCCAATTTGCTACATATTTTCTGTCATTTTGAAGACAAAAAGATTAATCGATTCATTATAAAAATATTAGTATAGTCATGGCAAATGAAAACATTTTCTAGTTGCAGTCCTACTTCAGGTGATTACCCTTCATTACAATTAACAATATTTGATAGAATTTGCCAATCAACTAGTTCACTGACAGAAAAATAACTGGCAGTTGTTATGATATACTGTAGGTGCTCATTTTGACCCGAAATGACAATAACACCTGTTCAGACCATCTCTCATCGCATGGGAAGCATGCGATCAGGTACCCAATGGTATTTTAATGGCCACACCAACTTAAAATGAATGCTTAAATTCACAAATGTTCTGCTGGAATTCACTCTGAATAATTAGTTGTGAAGTTATCTGTATCATGAAAGATGTGTGACAATAAATAAACTAGTCCTCAGTAAGTGGTTATGAATATGGTCAAACAGTGTTGGTGTGCAGCCGGTGTTTGGGAATCCAAATCCACCTTAAATAATTACACATAATGACACATGAAAGCAGCTCATGAGCCAAGATAAATAACAAGCACCCTGCAGATGTCCCGATTAATCCTGTTATGCAGGTTCAGTCAGTCTGACAGCACAGTGGCTGCTGCCACTGTTAAATTAGTTTCTTCAAACAAACAAGTTTCACACAGAGATATTTTCGTTACTACCATAGGGGACATACTGTATGTTGGCACTGTTTTTGCATTTGCCGGTTTGATCAGTTTTGAAAGCAGCTATAGGTGGAGATAAAGTGGACACTGTCTAACACATCCCCCTATAGATGCTCATCTGGCTGAGATCTGGTGATTGTGAAGATCATAGCATATGATTCACATCATTTTCATGCTCATCAAACCATTCAGCGATCCCTGGAGTCCTAATTTCAAGGATTCTTCATTAGTTATATACAGTATACAGCAGCTCTCTAGGAGTATCATCAGCCTTGCCTCAGACTCTGAACAGACAGTATTATTTTACTCTCTGGCACATGTCCATAGTGTTATCAGGATAATCCACTCTGAACCCTGCAGGCACAGTTAATAAGGATTGAAACTTTGGAGAAAGATTTACCTTGCCAGAAGAAGCTCGGGCTGTTGCATTCCAGATTTGGATTTGATTGTGATGAGGATATCAGCAAGGTGCTCCCACTAGATCAAACATTCTCTGTGGTCATGGTAGAAAGACACATAATGATTATTTACCTGGTCCCACTGAGCTTCTGACCAGTCTTCACAGTTGGGGTGGTTTGCTGTGGTCTGCTGGATGCAGTATGGTATTACTTGTTTTAACTAATGAGTTTATATTTAAAATGAGTAAACTAAACACTGTAATGCACTGTTAAGTGCTGCATGGGACAAGGCAGGGACTGAGCATAGAGCAGCCACTAGATGGCAACGCAAGTAGGATTTTAAGTAGGGGCATCCAGTAATACTGTATTTATATATATATATATATACACACATTATGGAAGCAGTCGACAATACTGAACTCTCAATCAGAGGTTTTTTTTTTTTTTTATATTTCATCTATTACCTGTAAACTGGAAACTAACCTAGACTGTCAACCTGACTTCTTTATCCTGTGTAAATTCTGGGTTGAACCTATTGGGTGTTCGAGTTCCCACTGAGCTGTGAAGATAAATAGATAGATAGACCTTTATTAACACCGTGTTGCACACAACAAAAACACATAGTAACTCACCTAAAACCAATAAATTGCAGCAGCTTAAAAAACTGCAAGTACATTTAGTTTTATGCAACTCCTGGTTCCAGGTTAGATGTATGGAAGATGAAAAATGACTTAATCATCAGTAAATAAAAATACATACATTGATTTAAATAAATAAACAAATAATTCAAAAATTCAAGAACACATTGCCTCAAAAAATAGTGGTGCAGTATATGAACACATACAATATGCCAATGACATTTATTATTATTTTAGTTCCACTATACCATGACAGTAAGATCAGCTGGCTAGATGAGGAGCCTAAAGCTTGTATGACTGGACAAAATGAAAATGGATCAGCACTGTAGTGCAGTGGGAGTAAGGGATGGAGGAGAATATTGTTCATTAGCTAATATAGATGCATGAAATAAAACAAAAATGGTCTATCAGGACAAAATTAATCAGATATAAAATGGTATGTTCCAAACAAAACTGGCTGATATTGGTAAACAAAAGAAAAAAAGTCTAACAATTTTTAGTAATTACCAATCCTGCTTAGAAGCCTTTAGAAGCTAATATCTCTGCACAGCTGCCAGTGCTGTTCAATGAGTCTGGGTCACAGGAGGTTTTCGACAGCACCTCTCCACATTGAGACAGGTTTTGGAGCAGATTTCTACAACAAAAATATTTGGAAAAAAGTTATATACTGTACCTTAACTTTTTTCTGGAGCCCAAGAAGAGTCTTTATCTCCACCTGCTGCAAATGTTACTACCTCAGGACAGCAGGAGCAGAGTTTTCTTAGCTGAAAGCTGCAGTTGTATAGTTAAATGTTACACAACGGTGTGTACCTGTCCTGAAATATAATGTCTGGTTCCATACTGTGTCTTCTCTCTCTGCCCCTCCAGCTTTCTTCTGCTTCCACTGATGTCCTGCTCACTGTGGTCCTCCCAGCCAATCGTGGCCCAGATTTTCAGATGGCTATCTTTTGAAGGGGCCGCCGGCGAATGCTGAGCAGGCTGGGGAGGTCGGGATCCGCCTCATTGTCCTGTGACTTGTCGCTGGACGGGACTGAGGCTGAATGGAGCCAATGTACAACAAGCAGGACAGCAACTCCTCCGATGGGGATGAGAAAGGGTGAGACAGAGGGTGTGTGTGTGTGTGTGTGTGTGTGTGTGTCCATCTCTGATGTAAACATGAAATAAAAGCAAAGATTAAGAGTGATCTGACAGATGAAAGAGGAGCCGCAAGCTGGTGATGCTACAACCCCAAATCAGAAAAAGTTGGGATGGTATATAAAATCAAAGAATTGAAGTGAGTGTTTATTATGAACAGAGAATAAAACTGATGAGGTATCACATCAAATAATGTGCTGCTGTATTGTTTTCAATGTAATACAGGACACAGATGATTTACACATCACTGTTTTCAGTCTTAATTTTGATTTGACATACCATACCAACTTTTTTGATTTGAGGTTGTATGATGCATGGAGAGCTCCACCAACATCTTTGTTTTCAAATGCAAGTTTGAATAATTTGAGTCCTCACGTTCCTGACTCAAGCACCTCATTTCATACAACAGTAGTATAGCTAAATCTGATGTGACACTTTGAAGAGAGGAAGAATAGAATATGAGCACACGAGAGATTGTGCAGCAACAGCTCTGTAACTAAATTAAAAGGGTGCTGTCTGGATGGAGGGAAGGGGTGGGGGGCATGAAGGTTGAAACAGTGCATTCTGAGGTAAATAGGAAGGCTGAGCACTTTGTCACGCTTCCATCTGTGTCCTCACCAGCACATGCAGCCACGCAAACACACACTTACAGACATTCTGCTCCATTAAATAAATTCATAGAGACTGAGTTCAGTTTAATCTCACATTATCCATCCAAGATGTTAGGGTCTGGAGTGCCTGAGAGGATAGTGTTTAAGAAAAGAATTATTCGGATGAAGAATTGTGTAAAATATATCATTGAAACAACAATTTGTGAAATAATTTAAGAAATTATTGAAAATTCAACTTCATTTTTATTTTTATAACAGTTTTATGAGTTTGTTTACCCTGATGAGCCAAAACAATAGGAATAGTTTGCAGCTGCATACTGTAGCTCGCATTCTGTGAGACAGTCCTCTTATAAACATCATTAAAAGTTTCTGGTTTGTGCCGCAATATCCTTTCTGTCTGTTCGGACAGCCTTTGTTGCCCATGTGCATCAACAATGGGCCGATCCGTATCCCATCTCAAAGCCCTATCAGTGGGTAGGAGATGGCTGTCCTCGCCCAGTGATCCCCAGAACATAAAAATAATCAGTTAATTAAATTCATGTGTGTTGCTGAGATCATTTCAAGTTCCTTTGTGTGACAGGTGAAACATGGTTTGTTTAGATTGCAGCTAGCCACTGTATGTATGGAATTAGATGCAGGACATACACTGTGTAAAACCATTTAACAACATGCAGTATATAAAACTACATGTTTTGGTTTAAGCAGTGTTTGATTGAAGCTCACATAAACGTTCAACTGCCTGGAGATTATTACTATAAACCAGTTTTTTTCAATATAATAAAGTGTGGCATTACAGAGAGAGAGGTATTTCGCGTATTGAGGGTGAATACCGTTTTTACTAAAGCAAGAAACCCAGTTAAGACGACTCCAAAACCTCTACACTACAACCGCAACTGTGATCTCTGGGTTTCAGTTCCATCGTAAGTCCTTTTCTAGTTTTGCTCTGACCAACCAATCAGAGGACGGAAAAATGCTGACATCATTGTGGGCCTGCCAGCTGGCCCTGTGAGGCGAATTTGAAATCTGACTGGTTAAAGAAACAGTCCCATTGCTAATATAGTTTAAGTTACATGGGCCAGCACTTCTGATTCTGAAGGCCCTGGGCAGATTAGATTGACATGGCAACACATAGAGGCTGAAATCTGATTGGACAAAAAAATCTAACATCCACATACACGTAGTGGAAGCGGTGCAGCCAAGAGAAATACTAGGAAATAAAGAGAACAGACTGTTGGGAATAAATTAATACAATTTCATGGAACAAATATTAGAGTTTCGGTTGTAAATGTAAGTCAGTGCTTCTGATAGTGTTTAGGCCAGCACAGAAGGCCTTGCTGGCCCTGACGGCCCGCCACTGCTATAAACCCAGTTGCTTGTGCATATAAATACTAGAACATATGTACACCTCATTTTTTTAGCTTTAGGTCACTTCTAAGATGATTATTCACCATTGTAACATTGTAAATAAGTCAAAAAACAAGTAAAAGCATGTCACTATAGCTCTGGCTTCTCATTTACATTGGACATGGCGTTCACTAGCCAGCTGTGCTCCGGTCCACCACTTAATGTTTGTGTGGGAATGCGGATTGGACGAAATGTTCTGCATGCAAAACAAGCCTATTGTTAACTGCTATTGAAAAATTACATTCAATACACACCTGCACCAAGCCTAAAATCCTTTACTGAAACAGTTTGGTATGAATGCCTTTACACCCCTTGTAGACCAAAGTACGGTAGTGTTGGGAATGTTCCTTTTGACTTGGATACTGTACAGAACATGATATTGACAATAAATGAGTTTGACAATATAAATACAGTACGTTTAAATGAGAACTAATACTAATAACCAGGCCCTGCCAGTTCTCCATTGTTTACTAAAACTTCATATGACATTACAGTGTTGATATAGTTGGTATGCTCATATCCTGAAGATGGTGTAAAAAAGTGCAGTTGGAAAGTGATGTGTGTTGGGCTACTGTTGTTCTTACACATTTTGTGGTTCTTGAGTATAATTTGTATGTCAAGGCAAATTTCCGGTTGTTGCTCTTCTCTAACTCATCCTCAGTTCTGCATTAGGAGAATTATTTAGAAATCGTGCATAGCTCAGTAATTTTTCTTTTGCCGTGTTGAATTTCATTTTCTCCACCTCAGAAGCTGAAAGCCGCAATGACATGGTATCCTTGATGTGCACTGCAGAGACAAGGGAGCCTGTCAGTGCTCTTGACCTTATAACCTTTCACCTAGCAATGCCATCAGGTCAAAGCTGTCCTGTCTTATTATTTCTATCAAAACATGCCCAGTGCGAGTGTGTAGAGGTTTGTATTATTGAACATGTACTGTATGTACACATATGTATGCATGAAGATGTACTGTATCAGTCTGTTTTTCTGCCAGCTGAGATGTTTGTGTGTGTACACATGTTTATGCAGCTATAGGAGCGTGTATATAGATGCATGCGTTTTGCGTTGTGTGTGTGTGTGAGTGTGTGCGGTGTGTGTATGGATTAGTGGAGTGGAGAGAGCTGGATTAGGAGCAGTGAGGCCAGATGGAGCCACCGAAAGCAGAGGGCAGCTCAGGTCGCCTCACTCTGTGACATCAACAGGGGATTGTCGCTTTGTGTTTGTGTGTATGTGTGTTTCGCACAGTCTCACCGAGCATGCACGTGTTCTTGTGAGCACTGCCTCATGCCCTGACTCCACCCCTCTGTGATTTCTGAGTCACAGAGCATTCTGGGTATACACACACACACAAAGACGCTGATACAAAACTTCATATAGCCTGGGGTAGGGGATGCTGAAATGGAATTTGGTCTTTGTGTTTGTGTGTGTGTGTGTGTTGCTTTTTCTGTGTGTGAGTGGATATGTCTTTCAGTGGTTGTGTGGACACATTTTGCTTTGGTGCTGTGAGAACATTTTGGCTGGTTCTCACTACTTCAAACAGCTGTTTGTGACAGTAAATATCTCTCTTAGTCTTATTTAATCAATATTAAGGCCAGTTTTTGGTTGCCGCAGCAGGGGTCCTCTGGATGGACACGGACTGTGTTTACATGCACTTACTGTAAGAAACCGGATTATAATCGGCTTTCTCAAGTAAGCTGATTTTTTTTTTAACTGTCATGTAAACGGAAAACCTGGCTTCCATAATCGGGGTAGGAGATTAGGGAAACCTGATTTCCCCAGGTAGATTTCTACTGGAGAACGCCAATTTATCTGGCATGTGTATGTGTAACCAGGATTCTAATCAGCTTTCTACAAGAGCGCATGTGCAAAAGACAAGCTCCAAGGTCACTAATTTGTATGTGACTGGAGAAAAAGAGGGAATTGTCAGTGGTGTAATCAGACAGTTATCAACATGGCGAGCAGCAGCAAGCAGCAGGGCAGACAAAGCACAACTAATGGGATGGATAATGTCATAATTTGCAGGTGAAAGATCACTAAAGAAGCCAAAATATGAGCTTGGTCCATCTTGGTCCATAATGTGGGCATACCTGAACAACGTCTTTCTGCTTTCAGCGGGCCTGTGGGGGGGCTGGGGTCAGATTACCTAGGAGCTCATGTATACTGGGGTTTTTGAGTAATCTGATTACTGCCATGCATATAAACATGCTGTCTGATTTCTGCCTTAACCTGGTTTCTTTACTTAAGTGCATGTAAACACAGTCACTGTCACCTACCCAAGTCTGTGTGGTTCCACAAGGACCTTTGTACGTAGGATTTGTAAAGTTTCATTGCACATTTCAACAGAATAAAAGACTGTGTAGAAGTCAGATAAGTCTAGAGTAGAGGTACGTGTAGTAAACAGGCAGATGGTATGCATGACGCATACCATCTGCCTGGGTTGCAATGAGGACATAAACCTACGCTACTCCTTGTCTCTGAGCTGGTTTTTGCACTCCACTTTTCAGCACATTCCCTACCACCGATTATGTATAGTGTGCATTGGTGTGCCGTTGTCAAGACCTAACTGCATGATCACACATGACTGCTCAACACCCCACGAAAATACACACAAACACACTCTGCATCCAAGCTTACTCCTGGCTTCATGTGACAACAGGGTGACACACTGTAACATGGACACAACTGCAGGCAGGGTTTCTCCTCAACAAAATGTCATGCTAAAGACATCGTTTAATCCTAGCGTGAGCGTTATTCATCACACAGGAGCTTATGTCCTCTTTGAGCCAACCAAACAGGTTGACTGGTTGGTAGAGGTGCTAATTCTAGTTTTTCAAGCAACATGTTTCCTGTGCAACATGAATGTGGCATTGACAGTGACATAACACTTTGTGTGTGTGTGTGTGTGAGTGTGTGTGTGTGTGTGTGTGTGTGTGTGTGTGTGTGCGTGCTTT